GGACAAATGCCAATTAGTAAATATTTAAGAACTTCCGGAACAATAATTATGTATCATCTGAAGATGGCTTAATAATAAGCTGAAACATGTAATGTAATGTAATGTAATGTATTATCTTTTCAAAGCTTTGAGCAAATTTTCATTGTATTTATGTTAGATATATATATTTTAATATTTTAAAAATTAAATTGACTCTTATATGTCCTTTTTGCGTTGAATTATATTTGCAATATTCAAGAGTCCTTTTTAATCTTATTTATTATGAAAATTTAAAACTTATTTAAAAAGCACAGTAAGAGCCTCATTTTGTGTGCGTAGTCTGGGATTAATTTGTAATATACACGAAAATATACCAGTTCTCGCATAATTGCCAAATAAAAATTGAAACATTATATCCCTGAATATATGTTTAAAAAGATTGAAAAAATGTAATAAAGACATTAGAGAAGAAAAAGAGCAGTTTATAAAGTTTATTTTAAGACTAAAAATAATTATACTGTTTTGCAAACGTGAAGTTACGAGTATACGCACAGAATTTGTTTGGTAAAACATTTGTATTGATATCTGTAATGTATATTGTTTTAAAATTTAAAAAATTGGTAATTTGCAGTAAAAAGAAAATAAAATATCGCAATTAATATTAAATAACACATTCTAAATGATATTCTTGGAGTATTGTTTACCAAATGTTTAAAATTTGCATTTTATAGTTAAAAAAAATTGAAACGATTATTTAATCTATATTGAATTTTTTCTTATTATAAAATCGCATTTTTTAAGTAATAATAATAATCATTGTCTCTGAACATACTAGAGATATGACTGTTCCACTCTCATCGCATTGTCTGAAATTATAGAATTTTATATTATACTGACACAAGATTTACAAGATACGAATTATTTTTATTTTACAACTGATAACCAGAAGCATATATTGTTACCTGTTACAACGTTCACATAACTTCCAACTTATTCTTAGCGAATTTTATTATATTAACTACTGTGAGTTTTATTATATTTTTACTTGCAATTGAGAGCGAATTGTAATTTTCAAAAGTTTTAACTTTGTAATATTTTTACCGTTTTATTTTTGTATATTTAACATTGATAATGATCCAACAGGGATCGAAACGTTTGTAGTTTATGTTGTATTGTTTAGAGATGGTTGCTTTTGCCTACAAATCGATTGCCTACAGTACCTTTTGCCTACATCACTT